TGGCTAGTTCTCCGTAACCTCACTCCCCAGGTAAATGAATCTGCCTGCCTGCCTGCCTGCCTGCCTGCCTGCCTGCCTGCCTGCCTGCCTGCCTGCCTGACTACCTACCTACCTACCTACCTACCTATCTATCTATCTATCTATGGCTGTGTGAGTGTGTGTGTATGTTCCAGCATAACTCTGGAATGCCTCGAGCAATCTCAACCAAACTTGGTACACAGATGACTTACTCTCTGGAAACGAATACTATGGGGGTAAGACACCCCTACACTCCCCGGGGTGTGTTCTATTAAGATACACCCTGTTGTGCCTTAAAATAGCTTCTACCATACTGCCATGAAATGGCTTCTACTATACAGTGCAGTGGAGTTGCCATGGTAATGACTTTACAGTACTCCACAAGGGGGCTCAATTAAAAATTGGTCCAGACATTTTCAACAAAATCAGGGCTTTTCCTGTTTAATATAGGATTAGGATAAATAAATACCCAGGTAACTAGCCGGGTTATCAACTATTTTACAATAAATTAGAGGAGGAATCATACAAATACTCAGCATTGTACTTGTAAACTCTTAGACCCTTCTGCTCTTGATTTTGAAATTTTGTTAGCTTAATTCTTGGAGCTTTCTATTTTAAGCATTTTATTTCTAAAACATTAAGTTATAGGATTGACCTCCTTAACATTTTTATTTATTTATTAAGTGCTAGAATGGCATAAACACAGCTGCGTTGGGGCCGTCTGCACTTCATTCATTGAAGGTTTGAGGGAAGGCTGGGATTATTGCAATTACACGGAGGATGCTACTCTATAGGATAGAGGCAGCAATAGTGAGGGCCCAGTTTCATGTTCCCTAATGATTACATTCTCTTAAGAGTAGGATATCTGAGAAAGCCCCCTGTCCCTGACCTCAATGGATTAGCAGATCGTCTTAGATCTGTTAAGGATAACCAGATCCTAAATCATTTGTAGGCCTTTAAAGATGACAACCAGAGCCTAAAAGATGACAACCAGCACCTTGAATTAAATCCAGATAATCATTTCAGTTCTCAAAGTGTTTCACAGGCAACAGGAAGAATACTGATAAATATTTCAGCAGCGGCGTTCTTAAATTGTAGCTTTTGAGTGGTATTTAAGTGTAGCCCCATGCAGAGTACTTTCCAGTAGAAATTGATGAACAAGATGGGATCGTGCAAAGATCCTGTTGGCCACAGCTGCCGTTTTTCTCATTGAGCAAGAATAATGAATTTAGGAAGATCCTCAAATTATGAACAAATTAAAAATAGAGAGCTCAATTCTATCTAGAATGAAAAATATTCTGCCTTGCCAGGCCTCTGAACTCACAGTCACTCTGCCTTGTATAGATGGAATATGTTCTTCTCCATGTAGATCCTAATAGGGAATGGGTCAGTACTTCGACCACACCTTCTAGGCAGTCCAGTGCCTCAATAGACAAATAAGTATCATCAATGAACTGATGCTACCTGGCCTCATGTCAGTAGATAACCTCTCACAGTGGCTTTGTGCATCAGTAAAAGAATAATGGAAAGAGAATTGAGCCCTACAGGTCCCAGCAATGTAGCACCGTCTGGCTTCAATTCTTCTCTATCACCACCAACAACCAGAGTTGGCTCTAGGAAAAGGACAACTACTGTAACACTCGCTTCCCATTCTCAGCTTCCAGACATGGTCCAGCACAATACCATGATCAGTGGTTCTGAACACAGTTGACAGATCAAGGAGGATCAGGAAGGTCACACAATCTTGGTTGTTCACAGATCATTGACAAAAGCAAACGATGTGTTCTCAATATAGTACTCTAGCCTGACACCCAGCTGAAAAAGCCCAGATAATCAAATTTCTTCCAGGGCTCTCTGCAACTGGAACCTTACTGCCTTCTCAATAATCTTCACAACAAAAGAAAGATTGAAATTATCAACAGGTTTCCAAACTGTCTGGGTCTAATGGTGGCTACTTGAACATGAAGCACATCAATGCCTATTTCAGGACTGGTGTTACCACGCCATCCCTCAAAAGTGTATTCATTAGAGCTCTGACCCTGACCTCTCATCACTTTTCTGAAGGCAACTAGGAATGGTAAGGTTCTAATATACAGGCAGCGGAGCTTGAAGAAAAGTAACATGTCCCTGAAGGGAAGCTCCAGAAATAGCTCAATTGTAGGTGTGCCTGTTCAGTTAGGGGAAATGGAAGATGGAAGAATTGTTTCATCAATACACTAAATCTCTGGGAGGAATCTACACTGTTTTATTTATATGTTTTTAAGATATGGTTTTGACTTTTTACTAATGTGTTACTCCCCATTTGTCAAAATAATAATGGCACTAGAGGAGGAGAGAAATTGCTCACACTTTTTCCCCCTGCTTTCCCCTAATTAGATTGATGGCTCTACACTGCGTACTCTATGCTTGCAACATGGTCCTCTTATTACATTCCATCTGAACCTGACTCAAGGGAATGCTGTGGTCCGATACAGTTCCAAGGAGGAAGCAGCAAAGGCTCAGAAGTCTCTGCACATGTATGTTATTTGATTCGGTATTTACTGTTTTTCAAGAAAGGCATGCCCAATTGGGGCTTGTGATGTATTTAATGATTGCCTTGGACAGTAAAAAGGAGGCATGAATAGTGAACAAAAAAGAATGGCATATAGAGGGGGTGGGGTGTTATGTGACTAATCAATCTTATTTTACAATCCTTTAAAAAAAAAAGACTAAACCAAAAAATTTTCTGCTTGAAGACTTCCCTATCATCCTCGGGTATCAATCTAAATGTCCACAATGTTACTTCCCATATTCAAAACTTCCTTGTGAGATTTTCCACTGTAATATTTGATTGTTTCACAATCAATGTTCTAGCTCTTGAGTAATGTTTAACTTTAAGGGAATGTATATACTGTGGTCAGAATAAATGCATAGGTCCTGGGAAGTATGTCTCACCAGTTTTTCTCTTATGTTTTCAGGTGCGTTTTGGGGAACACTACCATCTTGGCTGAGTTTGCTGGAGAGGAGGAAGTGAACCGTTTTTTAGCACAAGGCCAGCCACTGCCCCCCACTTCCAGTTGGCAGTCCAACACTGGAACCACTCAGACACGTTTGGGCTCCACAAGCAGTTCTCATGGCATGGTGCGCAATGATGCAGGCCACTGGAATACCCCCTGCCTTGGTGGGAAAGGGAGCAGCGATCTGCTCTGGGGTGGGGTCCCTCAGTATTCAAGCAGCCTTTGGGGTCCTCCCAGCACCGATGACGGCAGGGTTATCGGAAGCCCAACGCCTTTGAATACTCTTCTCCCAGGGGATCTTCTCAGCGGGGAATCCATCTAGGATGCCAGAAAAACAAAATGGAAGTAACAATCATCAGCACTAAAGGAAAAAAAAAAAAGAAATAGCAGTAACCCTTTCCAGTCCAGGGCAGCACGAAGGATCCAGCTTTAATAGATCAGACTGGCGGCCCTTTTTTAGTACCTCTGTCTACTCTTGACTATGAAACTCTGCTGGAATCCCTTGTGAACTGTTTGTGTTAACAGTATGGGGCTCCCTTTGGTCAGTGTCATGTGCTAATGATAGATTTTTGTGTGGGTTTTTTTCCAACGGCTTTTTAATTTTATTTTTATGTTTGTATGGTGTTTTTAAAGACGTATACAAGCTGCTTAGACTAGTTCTATCATGAAGGGCACTTTTCAGAATTTGGGCTGGAAAGGGTTATTTTATCAACTTGGGGAAGTTGGGGTTGGGAGGAAGGGGAGGTGAGAAAGCCTATTTAAAATGAGCCTGTGATAATTATGCACATTACCAGAGGCGGATCCAGTAATCAGTGGGGGTGGGGGTGGGGTGGCATCTGACCAGCTTGTCAGCAGCTATTGGGGAACAAATCTTAAGCTCCCTTGGCTGGATGACTTGGATTGAGAGGTGGGGTGGAATATCCAGGTCCACTACTCCCGTGGGTCTTGCCTATGCACATTACACTTGTTTCATTGCTTTTTGTGTCATTTTTTTAAATTCTCCCCCCAAATAGTTCAAAGGTCTTTTTTTTAAAAAAAAAAAGAAATGAAAGAAAGAAAAAAGAAAGAAAAATTAACATATCAAACATGCAATTATACTTGAATCCAGTAGGCCAATAACAAAAATGTGAACACTTTCTATTATTACACTTCCAGGTTGGTATCAGAAAACAAAAGAACAGGCTCTAGGATTATTATTATTTTTGGTTCTTTCTTACATGTATGCATTGGGGACAAGTTGAATTGATGTATGAATGTATGGATGTGTGCGCGTGCCAGGTGTACAACTTAACAAATTGTGTGACCTTTTTTTTTCTTTTCTTCTTTTTCAGTATATGCTTTTGATTTGCTTATCGGTCAAATGTTTAATTGTTATTAGCTTCTAACTTTGCACTGAGTGTCCACAGCCCTTCTTGTAGCTAATCCTACTTGGTTTTTTTAAAAATAAAAATTTTAAAAAACTGATAGGAGGGGCTGGCGACAATTCACGTGTAAATGTTTACTCAAGGACTCTTACTGCATTTTAAAAACTTACAGTGTGTATCTCTGGAGAATAATATGTATATCTACCTTTAGCAGCTTTTTATTGTGGACTAATGCAAGAAAATAATTACCGGAGTATTGCACCATTTTTTTCCCATTCGAAATATAAAGTTTAAAAAAAAGGAAAAAAAAAAAGACTCTTGTTGAACTGTGGCCATAAATACTTGTAAAGAGTGGATGGTTCCCTGCAAGCTGGAACAGAAACAAGCACTTGGACATAGGTTTTGACTGCTTTTGGAGGAGCCTACGATTTCAGCTCCTACCTGTTTACAAACCTTTTTTTTTTCTCCTTCAAACTTTAAAATAAAAAAAGGAATTAAAAAAAAGAAAAAAAAGACTTCCATCATAAAGAAACCTATTTTCAGAATGAAGATATGCTACTTCAGAGCTCTGGGATTGAACAGTGTTTGTTGTTGTTACTGTTGTTGTTACTGTTGTTGTTGATCCTTTTCTTTGGCCATTGCTGTGTACTCTTTTTTTTCCCCTCCCTCATCTTCGTCAGAGTGGCGAAAAATGTTGTGATCACTATCTTGCACATGGTGGAAGATGTCTCAGGAAAGCCGGGTTTCCCGAGGAGCAACTCCACACCATTTCATGTATTTTTTAAACCCAACTCCTAGCACTGAAGATATTATTAAAAAAAACAAAAAACAAAATAAAAAAGACAGTAAGAGAAGAAGAAAAAATACCTAATCTAATGTGTAGCAGTTACATATTTACCAAATAATGGACTCAAAAGAAATAGATGTTTGAAGAGTGCTTTATATATTAAAAAAAATTGCTTTATGTTTAAAAATGATCAATGTTTTTGATTGTTTTGAAAGGAAGAAAGACAATGGAATAACATACCCTTTGAGTATGTTTTTAAAAATTATATGAACATTGTGCTCCCTGACTGCTTGGATCAGGAAACTTGTGCATTACGTTTTGTTTTGTTTTGTTCAAGGTTAGCTTTTTAATGGTTTTGTCGAATTAAAAAGGGTCCTGCAAAATTGCAAATCAACAAAAGCTGGGTTTTTTTAGAGGATCATGAACTATGCACAGATTGGGTTCCAGACTTGTGTTTTCTCAAGTTTTCGTAGTGTATTTAGCTGAATACCCTTTTCTCAGAGCAATTGCATCTCATTCTCATTACACGCACTCTACATATGTATTGTGTATATATCTCTCTTTTAACACACATACAGATACACACACACACACATATTTATATATAAAATACATATGTGCCTATGTGCGGATTGAAATAGTCAATACAATTTTCCATGCTAAAATTTAGTAATGAATTGTAGAAAAAAACCTCACAATCATTTGAAATTGGAGATGGACATTTTTAAAATAATTCCTGTTGAATTTTTATTTTTTATTTTATTTTAATGTTTTGCCTTTAATTTTGAACTCAAGATGTCTGTAACTCTGAGATGAAAAGTTTTTAAAAGTTTGTGGCTTTTAATGTTATTTCTCCTCATAGAATGTGATTGTTGAAAACATGCACCAGAAGTTGCTTTCAAGAGTACAAAGATTCTTTGAAACTTAATAAATTGCAGTTTTTCTTGGCTGTTAAGAAGGCATGTGTATTTTTCTTGTGTACAGAAATGACTGTTAACAGATAATCTAGCATTTCTAAGGCTTGCCCAATTCATTACCTGTTAATTGTTCAGCCAGCAAATATCCGAAATGATTAAAATGTCACTTTCAATCTGTGTATGCTATAATTTACAGATTGTTGACTCGCTGCTTGTGATTGCTTAGTGTTGTTATTTATGTTTGTTAGTTGCCTTTTCAATTTCGCAATATAAGATAGGATTGGATTTTTATATGAAAAAGTTGTAAAGTAATTGTATTTTTGTTAAATGCTGTTTCTCTCCCCTCTTTTTTCTTTTTGTCTCTGACACATTAGGGGAGGGGAATCACTCATAATTCAATGTATATACTTTACAAACATATTGTCATATTTCTGGCTAGTATTCCTTTTGCTTTAGACTTCTTTGACAACAAATTTTATATTTCCATATCTATAACTGGAAGGTTTCCAAACAATATTATTCATAGTTTAGGTATACCAATGCTGCCAAGACTTTTTTTCCTTCTTTATATTTGTTTTCTTGGGAATCTGCTTTTTTTCCTGTGACAAAATATTACATCAACATAAACGTTTATGTCTTTTATACAGCTACCAGAAAGAAAAGGATTTGTAAAACACTATAAAGTTTTTTCTTGGCCACAATAAGAAATTCAACATGAAAGTCAGGTTTTCTGGGTGATACACTCCAAAGCCATGTTTACTTTTTAAGCTAACTCAGACTACTTACTTGTTTTGTCTTGATCTAGCTTAAATAATGACATACCCATTTTTAAAAATAGTTATGTGTATAGTACTCTATTCAATGTGTATGTTCCACAACAGGAGGATTGATATAAACATTGGAATAAGGTTTTTTTTTAAGAAATCTGTAAATAGTTCTGTTTTAGTCAACAAAATGACCAGAAGGACACTCAGATGGGTCAACAGTAACATGTAAAATCTCATTTTTAGGATTTCCTTGTAGTAATCATAATAACTTGGACTTTTAAGAGCAGTCTAAACATTTTTTTAGAGAAAAAATTGCTAATATAGGATGCTAGTACATTGATCTTCACAACTGTTATCATTTTAAATTAGCTTATGGACACCTACCTTGACACATCAGAATTCCAATATAATTCAATTTTCTTAATACTATTTTAGATCATAAACCAAAGTACCAGATTCTTATTTACAAGATTGCCTTTGGGCTTCCAGATGAGTTCCATTGGCTTTTTTAAAAATAAAAAGAGAGGTATCATCAAAATCCTGCTTTGTTTGAGAATCCGTACAGTAGCCCTGAAAAAAAGGCAAAGATCATCTGTATCCTGCAGGACTATGGAATGTCCTCATTACTTTGACTTAAGAAATGGGTGTTTGTTTCTTTTAATTGATCACACCTACTAGGACAACCAGTGGCAAAAGGCCTTTTAGGGAACACTGCCAAATATTGTACTTTCCTAGACCACAGGAAAGCTGGCAGATATTTTCATGTTTAAACTCACCAAATAATAATATGCTCTAAATATTACATAATTAACCAGTCAGGGTTATATTCCTTACTGTTATGATGTAATGTATGTATTTTCAACACTGACTCCTTTCTCTTAATATTGGAAAGAAATTGCACTTTTCCTATTAGAATGTATATGCCAACTCCCTAGAATCTAGACAGCTTACAATATTAAAAAAATTATCTTCCATTGATATCAATTACTAAGGACTCTCCATTGTTTTATTAAAGAATTTTTAAAAGATTAAACACTAATACATATTAATATAAAATAAGAAATAATAAAAGACAAAGCTAAAAGTGCAAAAAAGAGAAAAGTACGGGTAGCTTCTGATTTTTTTAATAGCAGTTTTAAGTACAGTTATAAAATTACCTGTTAACTCTGTGGTTACAACTTAACTCTCTTACTGTAATCTACCTTATCTAATAATCAAATTAGCATCCCCAACCTTTTTGGCACCAGGGACCGGTTTCGTGGAAGACAATTTTTCCATGGACCAGCAGGAGGAACACACAACTTATATCCCACACAGTTCACCCACTGCTCATTTCCAACTGTTCGGCCCAGTTCCTAACAGGTCACAGACTGGTACCAGTCATGGCCCAGGGGTTGGGAACCCCTGATCTAAACCATAAATCATAAGTGCATTTTATCTGTTCTACACAAGAAGTCCTTAAGGGGTTTCGAGTCAGCAGTAAATGTAGAGATAAAAATCAATTTAGCCGCCTCAGCAACTTCCATCATATTCAACCATTCATTATGGAGGGTGTTGAGTCTTTCCAACATTGTGCATACAATAATCTTGGTGCAGTTACCATGTACAAAAACAAAGTTCCATGACATTTTTCTGATTGTCCATGAATCCCAAAAGAAAACCTCTGGTCTCGGTCTTTAAAATCCTCTAAATCAATGTACCGGTATGTCTTTGAATCCAGAACTTTCTAGCTTTTTTACACCTCCAACAAACATGATATCCTTTCTTGTTCATATTTCAGACATAAATTTGAAGTGCCTTTATACATTCTAGACTTCCTCTGGTGATCTCTGACAGGTTTATTTTCCTCTTCCTCAGTGATAAAATATACGAGGGTGAGATGGCAGAGAATTCCACAGAAGCTTCTACTGTTGAGAAGGTGTTTTATGGGCCCCTTCCTCCTTGATCTCTTGGGAGTGGGTATTAATATCATCTCACTTTACCTAGACTGTTGGGGACAGGCAGATTCTAACCAAAACAAGTACTGAAGATAACAGGTTAGGTGATTGCCACATTCTTACATTATTCCTGGAATACCAGTCCCACAAAATAGGTATTATTCTGTGGACCATTTAATATCTGTCTGTAGCTAAGTTACTATGTTCTATATCCATTGGAGCCTTGGGGTCTGTAAGGGCAGGTATACAGGGAACAAATTGCAGGAATTTGTAAGATAAGGCTCAAGTTATATCTCTTAAATTTAGAACTGCTTTGTTTCATTTTGACTTTCATTTTCCAAGTACGTAGGCAATGAACTTGCTCGCTGCTTATGCTTCTCCCTCTGTCACACAGAAAAGCTTCAGCAGGCTCTATTCTGATGATTTAGGAGCATCAGTTATCAATCTCAAAGCCACTGGTTTGTTCCGTTGGAGGAAGGATACAAAAGCAGATGCTGGGTAGCCCCCACAGCTCTGTCTTCTACTTGGATTGCTCCAGCATGCTAGTTTCTACTGCTCTTTGATCTTGAGAGGTAGGAAAAGCCAAGCCTTGGTCATGCTCTGTGGGCTTCCTTTCTGTGAGCAAGAAGCCGACAGCAATTGACACAAGGCAGATCAGCTGTTCTTGTCAAACCCAACACCAAGATAGGTAGGTATGTATCATAAGTAAGATTTTAAGCATGTGATTAGCCAAGACTTAGTTCACAAAATGGGGCCAGCTTGTGGCTTTAGGGAGCAAAAATCATATACAGGTCAATCTTCTCAATCCCACGTTTTTAATGCCAGGTACCAGCAGGGTCAATATTTTCCTTCTGGAAATCTCAGACCAGTGGAAGTTCATTGCTGAGCCTAATTCTTGTTTAGTTCTCTTCCTTCTCCTTTTTGCAGTACTGATCTAGAAGAAGTTCCCAGCCAGCAAGAGGAGAACAGGAGTGCAGTTATGAGAGATACTGATACACCTTTACAGTGCTGAGAACTGGCCCCAGAGGTTCAGTAAGTGTCAAGTAAGAATTGCAGGGAGGAGGAGAATGCAGTATCAAAACATAACTGAATGAATTTTAGGATTATAGAATGAGCTTAAAAATCTGGATGACTTTTAGATGACATCAAAGAGATTGGATGTGGCTGCTGTACAAAAATATTGCTGGAAAAAATGTTGATCTTAATAGTTCATGTTCATTGCCTTTATCTTGCAGTTCCCAGTCATATTAGGGAAAGTAAACTCATTGTTTTGATGGGACTACTCATTAAATATGGATCATGGCCTATTATAATAAAAAAATATCTATGTAAATCTAGTTTCTTCTATCACACCCAAACCTATTGTGCACTTTTTGAAAGTTCTTTAGTAGTTTCATCTGAATTCCTTCTTCATACAAAGGAATTATAATGGTTGTAGTCTCTCTCAGATGACTACAACTTATCCAGTACATATTTGTATTGACTAAAAATTTCCAGTCATTTTTAAAAATTCTCCATGAGTCTGAAGAAGGTTTGAACCTCCAACTTCAGTAAGATTATTGAAATACCTGTAAAACACTGTGATATAGAAGCCCCAATTTGGCAAATATTTTATCAAAGGCAGTATATCTTTTACAAAAAATGTGGATATTGTGATTGGATGACTCCGATGATACTTCCAAATATCAGTAATTATGATACTTTGGGTCAAACTCAAAATGTCAGAGGTATATCACTAGTTCTTGTCAATATTTAAAAGCAATGTAAGTGACTATGAAAATAAGAGTTTCGCAATCAGAAGGAGAATTCCTTGCATATCACCTACTGTTTCAAATTATTTTGAAAAAATGACATTTCCAGTTCTTTAGCCCTTGATTTATGAATCTGACTTAGTTCAGTCCCACTATATAAAATAAGTTTCTTCAAATACTGTAATGTGTGTTTATTTAAGATGTAGTTGCAAAATATTCATTGAGGAAGGCATCAAGTGTGGTGCCTCTAAGCTCATCCTTGGGCCTCTACTCTTTAACATTTGTATCAGTGATGCGGAGGAGACAGTAGAGGGAACGTACAGTATATCAAATCTGCATATTACATATTCACCGATAAATTAACCTTAGAATAAAAGTATCTACAAGAGATCAAAAAATTTGTGATGGAGTTTGTTTCTAAAAAATTGTGATGAAGTCAAAGCCCTACTCCTTTTCTACTGATGTTCTTCCTATTTTATCATAGCATAATGTTGATTGGGTGATTCTAGAACAGTGTGTTTCAACCTTGGCAACTTTTAAATATGTAGATTTAAAATTCCCCAGCCAACATGTTCTACCTAGATTTAAGATGCCATAAACCTCCAGTGGGGAAATGGACTTGCAGCCTGACATAAAACACTCTTTGCTGCAAGCAGACTTCTTGTCCTTCCACAGTGGTTGCTTTTAAAGAGACAAATCCTAAATTTTAAATGCCAGCAGCACTCAAGTTTTGCAAACAATGTATATATTTTATGCTCTAGAGCAGCAAACTCGTGACATGATGTATCGCAACTTTTTCCCTGTTTGTTAAACCGGGAGTGAGGTGGGCATGGCCAGCTGTTGATGCATCCGGCCTGCTCTAGAGTGTCCATGCCTAAATCTAAAATTCAAATTAACCTGCGCAGATTAGCAAAAATATATCTTTAAATGTCTTAAGTATTGATTAGAAGAGATATATATTAGTTTGATGCTGTCCACAGATCTGCACTAGTTGGAAGTATAATATGCATGCAGGACCATTTACAAACATTTGCATTATGTTAACTAATACTTCCAGAGAAAGTCACTAGAGGGAGTAGTTGATTTGAGTTCAACATTGGGAATATAGTACAACAATTTTGTATATAGTTGTCATTTTCTGACCTACTTAGACCTCTGTGTCTTTCCACACATCTTTTGCTTTTCCTGTGTCAATTTACAAGGGAGTAGCAATAGAGATTACTTACTGAAAATCATTGCAGCAGTCATTAATGTATTAACTGCACTTGAAACACTTGAGGCATTAGATGCAAACAAAACTAAGATTATTTGGCTAATAGATAACATTTCTAGTTGCCACAGATTCACTGTGCGTCTCTATATAAAGCTACATTACTAGGGGAAAATCTATTGAGTGCTCATGTTTTCTAGTGGCAAAGCCAAGGTAGGCTGATGCAATTTCTGCTGCACTTTTCTGTTCCCCCATCGCTGAGCCAAAATCAAAATGAAGGTTGCTGTGATTCCTGAGATGGAGTCTAGAAATTGTAATAATATTGCTACAGAGGCCCACTAATCTGTGAAAACCAGGAGGGAAGGAGTCATATATTTGCAAAGATTTCCACCATATGACAAGAAAAATATCAGTACCTTAAATAAGCACATGCATCTAGCACTCTACATTTGATTCTAAAAAGGTCATTTGGAGTTAAGTGCAGTGATAGAATTCAGCCAGTTCGCACCTATTTGGGAGAACTGGTTGTTAACTCTCTAAGCAGTTTGGAAAACTGGTTGTTGGAAGAAATCTCATTTTGTTTTTTTCCACTTTACAGGGCTGATCCTGTAAGGAAAGCAGGAAGGAAACATTCTGGTGTTGTTTCTAGCCTAATCTTTATTGCCTTTCGGGTTAACCCTTATTACATTGTAACAGCTAAGGTGAAGCGCCCATCGATCTGAATGATGTTGAGTTGGCCAGGCCCACATGGTCACATGACCCACTGAGTCATGCCTATCCAGCTGATCATTAGGACAGAGAACTGGTTGTTAAATTATTTGAATCCCACCACTGGTTAAGTTCCTTAAAGCAGCTGCATCTTTAAGCCCCATACAGGGGGCAGGGGGAACCACAATTATGTTAAAGAATTATTATTCTGCTACTGCATACCTCAAAGCAGCTTTGGAGAATAAAAAATTGAATCACAGCACAGCCTCCTCACGGGCACTCTCATCCACAGCATCTTATCCTGTGACTTGAGACTGCACAAAAGGTCCATACAAATTCAAATCCACATTCACCTTTTAATTTTTTGGCAAAGGGCCTGGA